ACAATTATGACTAAACTGCTCGTCTTAAGGCAAAATAAAAATCGTCTACGTCAATTGTACAAAACAAGAGCTAAATAAACATGTACTACCTATGTCAATAGCTTAAATAAATTGCAAATAAAAATTCTTACACTTTTCTCATATCTTCACTGTTTCGTATTCTACATTCCCAACTTTTCTCATAAATGCATAAAATCAGTCTAGTTACGAGACTTTGCCGGGTTTCAAGAATCGAAACCGGTATCATAACTGTTTTCAACCCCTGCGGAAAACACATTCTCGGGGCAAATAGTCCTTTGGAGAGAGAGAGCCCTGGCTAAGGGCGGATGAAAATTGACTGGTCGCCGCTGCGGGCTACTTTTAATTCCGCTGGTATTGTTCTATCATGAGAATCGTACACCGTGCAGCGAGATCGCAGAATGATAAGCTAGCAGTCCAGCGCGACCAGTTGATTTTGATCCGAACTACGTCTACACACACACGCGCGCGCGCGCGCGTACAAGCCCGAAAACCTTTCACGGGAAATTGGAGATTTTAAAGTGACTCGTTTTAATGGAGTTAGCTTAATGAGGGTGCGGCCGCGGTTGCGAAATTGTGCGGTTACTTCGTTCTGTGTTACGTGTGCAAAAGTTGAAGGGAAGCGTCTGGCGAGCGGGAAGAAAGCCCATGCTGCGTGCGATCATGCCTTTGATGCGGTGCCGGAAAATTATGTTGTTCGATGCGCGTCGGGGCCTCCGATAGGCAGTCACGATAATGCGATCCTTCAATATTGTGGCGTGTTGTGTGAGTTCTCCAGATCTTTACATTTTCCAAAGTTCAATCGTCAGATTCTCTTCCGAAACGAACGTTCTAGCCGGTTTAGCAGTTTTCATTTATCAAAATAAAGTATTGTTATATTTATTGTATTTATCGGATTAAATGTATATCGTATAATAAATTCTCTAAATATCATGCTACGTGTTACAATTTTCAATAATTATATTCGCAAAATTTATTCGATGTTTTTCACGTGAAATACAAAATCGTGGACGTCACACATGTGCGACGCCGATAACGAACCTGTTAAAATTAATTATCGATCATTTTTAGTTACTCCATGTATTGTTCCCTCAACGATATTTTACCAGCAGAAAATATTATTTCGTAAAATTCTATAAAAACAGTATAATACCGACGATACTTGCGTAACATTTCCCACATATATGAAAAATGGTACCTATTGTAGCATCACATAACAAGCTTACAATTAATTACTATTGCATAACAACTAAATTGGAGATTTTGTGTATTTTGTAAATTATAATAGTAAAGAAAGTAAAATAATTTAACCCTTTGCAGTCGGAGCCATTTTAACTCGAAATCTAAAATAGTTTTCCTGGCCTATAGTGTTTCCATTTTATATAACCTAGTGCATTTTATACATATGAAATTGAATTTTCTGAATCATGCAGCAATTACACTTTTAACAGTTCTTCAAATATAAACAAATTTGATAATATTAAAATTATTTTGAAACGTGATATGACAATTTTTAGTGGTGACTTAGAGTTACCACTGCGATGCAAAGGGCTAACAATATTAACCTATACTTGGTATAATGATTTTCATAAAAATAACTGGCACACTGAGATCACGAAAGATCCCAAAAAAGTGCTTAAGATAAATGCAGTATTGACATTTAAATCTTAGTTAGGGTATTAAATAATAAAAACACGGAAAAATGAAAACCATGAACGTTTACTGCATAAAATAGAAATACAATGTCGGGATTACGACCCCAGTAAACAACCAATTATGGATTGAAGAAGGAAATAAATTTTAACACGAGCTTTTTGCAATTGCAGCACAAAATTTCAAATAAAAATGTCGCCGAAGGATTGCGTAGACGGTCTTGCCGTGGTAAAATCCGCGAGTACGTGGCACAAATAAAACGTATCGCGGTGAAAATGCGGAATAATCGGAACGCCGACAATGTCCCGAAGAAATACGTTGGAAATTGAAAGTACAAACGTAGGAAATTTAATTCCCTGGCACATAAAGCACTCACGAAAAGTTAATTCCAATTCCGACCGGGGCGATACGCTGTTGCTTTCATATCGGCGGGATGTTAAAAGTTTATACGTTCGAGAGCAATTTCTCCAATATCCTATAACGGTGCGTGGATGTACGCGTGCTTATACACGCTCTCGCCGAGTGGCGGTGGACGATAATGGAAAGGTCGTGTTCGCAAATGTTGAGAAGAGGAAAAAATGCGATGCGGTACAAGCTCCTCGAGATCTCGAGGACGTATTACAACCCGCTTTACACCTTGGCTTTACTAATCCATTTTTCAGCACGGTCTCGTCTGTCTCCGGAAAAAGAATCTTCTTCTAAGGCGACACCTTGCAGTGGAACGAAACATCTATTTTCTTGGACATCGTTGACCAAAATTGATGGCCGAAGTTTTGTACTACAGCTTCATTAAATCTTTAATAAGTGATCGCAGCATAAGAAAACACAAAGAAATTAACTTTACATTCACATTAGGTTTTATTAATATGCATTTGATTGTTACTAGAATTCTGGTCTTTTTGTTTTCCAGTTGCTCCACTTTAAATTATCCACTTTAAATCCTATTGTTTTGCAAGGTTTCAATGTTTTACATATTATTGGATATCTTATTAATAATGAAAATAAAAATCCATTAGACTAAATACTATCATAATTCAACTAATGATTTAAAGTTCTGTTCAAAACCGTCCAAGGTCTAAAATACGTGAATTCACTACTGTTGTGGTAAGGATTTAAAAAATAGACAAATTAGCTGCTAATTGCGATTAATAAAATAAATCTAATAAATAGGTATATGTATATATGTATATGTATATAATATATGTACATTACATTTATTCCATTAATCGCAGCTATTAGCAGCTAATTTTTCTACTTCTTAATTCTATTTTTTTCTTTCACCTTTTTGTGTTTCCTTATACTACGGTCACTTCTTAAAGATTTAATGAAGCTATAGTACAAAATTCGTTCCACTGTATGCATAATTGTTAGAAGGAGCGCGATGAGTTTATTAAAATCGTTCCTGATGGAAGGTTTTTATGCGATCAGATTAGGACGCGACTGTCGATCATCGAGATATATGGAATTATCGGCAACACATGGATATTCATCGAGATGGCTAACCCGATATTGACAGCAGATTCTCCAAATTAGTTTTATGATTTGGAAAATTCGTGATGTGTAAAATTATGTTTCAGAAATGAAAGCACTTTCAATGGTAAGTTTATATGATCAGCTACAATGTAATAGTTGTTGGTTAGAAGATTGTTTACTAATTTTAGTCTGAAATGAACTTAACAGTATCTTAACTTTTGTCCTTGATTATCGCTTCATGAAGGTTTGTTGTTCGTACATTGTTCGTAATAAAAAGGAATATTCAAGAATACAGTAAAATGTGGAATCTTAAGAGAAACACCTAAACTTTCTCTTACTTGGTCAGACGAGAAATCTGGATTGAAGAAAAGGTAATATACCTTAAAAAATTGATAACAACAATTGAAAAATTTGTTAACAATACTGTGACATTTTGCAAAGTTTTAACAAGCACCAAATATATTTTCCAGAATACTGAATTCCAGCCACAGAATATTGAATTCCTCAATCGATACATTTCATCCTCCTTTCTAATTCAGCAATTAGATTATTTAATCCATAAACGTGACATACAAATTAAATTCCTGGTCAATAGTGCGAAGTATCGAGTTTTATTGATCGGCTCCACGATGCCAGATCTTAAGGTACCGGAAAAGGAAATCTAGTTTATGGCAAAATACGAGACTGGAAATTGTGCTCGTTCGTTTCCGAATGATTTCTGTAAACGTTGAGCATATCAGTTCGATAAAATGTTGTTGAACGTAGCTTCACCATAAAAATTCCCATTAATGTAGATCGATTCAAATTACAAAAAAAACCTGATTACTAAATCTTTTTATTTAAATTACTAAATTTACTTTTTAGTAGAGAGATACATGTACAAATTTCGAGAAGTTAGCCTACCGTCGAAAAGTGAGTAGTAGATCAAATGAAAATCAGCAGCAAATAAATAACAATTCATTAGTGTAACAACGACAACAATAATCCTATTAAATCTGATCAAATCGTAGTAAATATCCAGGAAGAAAATCTGCCGAGAACGAGACACGCAGCCGGAATCCCCGATTTCACAAGATCAAGTGCACCGGAAATTTCAATAAAGCGCGCACGTATCGGCGTAATTCGCGTTCAACGTGATTTTCAGGCTTCTTCAATGCCGCAGAGCCTATTGTGACCGCAGGAATCCCGTTTAACCGTTTGATACGCCAACAGTAGATAGCTCGGAAGAGTGTGACGAAAAGATCCCTTTCCACTCGACAGCATAATTTTCCGAAAAAGAAACGTTCCGCGAGCAATTTACGATGAGCAGATTCGTAAAAACGAGGAAATAATTAAAACAGCAGGAAGCAAAGCGCGGAGCTTTCCGCGCGGAGGCGTACAATAGCTTAAAATTCAATTAGCCGACTCTGATTTCGAAACGATTCCGGCACGTATTATACGTGCACGGTTGTTGTGAGCACATGTAATTAGAAAATGATTGAATCCCGGTCGCGCAGGCTCCGAACGTTGTAAATTATCGCGCGATTCAGTCCCGAATACTTCGAGGCTCTAATGCATCGGACGGAATATAGCATTCGCGAGTTAATATAGTATTCACGAGTTAATACAATATTCACGAGTTAATATAATATTCACGAGATAATATAATATTCGCGAGCCAATATACATAGTATTCGGCTCGTTGTACAATGGTTCCCGTCGCTATTGTAGGCCTCTCTGCGCCCATATGATTTAGTTTTACGCATTTCGCTCGTCGACACTCGGCCATGCCCTTCGATTTCCATGGAGTTCGGGCCCCGTGCATGCACAATCAACGGATTTGATACTGACAAACAGAGCGTGCTAAAAAGACTCACCGATCGCGGTCGACTTCTTCACGCATTTCGGCACGCCGTCCTCGGTTCTGCAGTATTCGTTCTCCCCGCAGACGGTGCTCGCGCAGTTGGCCTCTGCGAATCACACGAATCACGCGTTTACGTTAAAACGTCTCTTGCGAACAGGATAGGTTTCGTTATTTAACCATTTGCTGTACTTTAACCGGATCTGGGTAAATGTATATGCTTCGTTCGAAACAGTAATTTATTTCTGTATTAAATGAAACCCCAGTTGAAATACTTAAGTGATTTTTTATTGATTTTTGATTGTACGTGAAACGAACCACTTGAGTATTATTTCCATGAAATTGTGCATTGTTAAAAGCAAACAAATGTTAAATGTTCCAGTTACGTTCGGTAATTAAAAAGAATATACGATAAAGCTTGTTCTTTTTAAAATTGTATGTGTTTGTGCTGTTTTTTCTATAGGTTTATTTTCTCTCATAAATGTTAAACGAAAGAAATAGAATTTTAAATAATTCATACAAATTTAGAAACGTGAAATACTACTTCTATAATTATTATTTCCAGTACATCTTAAGAAAATACTACTTCAATTGATAATTTTCTTTACCGTAACATAAATATTTTCAATAGATGTGTTTATTTCTATGACGTCAAATAAATCTTGAAATATTCTTTCATAGAAACAAAAGTATCTTCATTAACGATTTCCAAATATTTCTACAATTTTTTATTTTTTATTTACTTTGCATAAAAATCCGCAGCCTAGTAATAAAAGATACGAATACTTTCACACTTCTAATGTCAACAGGCTTTTTTGATATAGCAAGAATTTACAGAATATAAAAATTAAATCTACACGATTTTAAGTACAGACAACTTTCAGGAGCAAGTGTTAAGGAGGCGTCGAGGCCAGCCTGATTGCCATAAATGGAACCTGGACTATGTCCGATGAATGTTGAGAAATTAAATCTCAACAAGGACACGTTGATGCAAATGTTGTACGAGTGCTATTTTTGTAAGTTATGCAGGCAATGTTTCATGAATCATAGAACAGCGTGCATTATGGAATACTGCATCAAAACGCACTATCGCGTGCAGACGTGAATAAATAAAAAAATATATTTTTCAGTTAAAAAAGAAGTCAAATAACTGTGAACATTTTAGTCGATTCTACCAGATTTATAAAAATTTTGTTCGCGAAAAAGCAAACTCTGTCTCGTGTAAGATAACTTAATAATTTCTTTTGAGATCATCGATAAAAACAATATAAGCATCCTTCAAATACAGCACAGTAATTAAAACGCCTCTTAATTAGCTACAATGTTAAATCCATGCAGCTACAATTATTTCTACTATACTGTGAATCTTTATGCAAAATCATAATTTTATTCTTTGATTATAAGAAACATGGACCACGCGAAGATTGACTTCTTTCTCACCTTAATAATTTTAGTAATTAACAAATAAAATGTTCTAATAGTTTTACTCTTCCATCTTGCGTACATTTATTTTTTGCATAACTAAAAAAAGTCTGTAGTCTAATGGAAGTTGCAATTAACGTCTGAATATGCACCAAATGCAAAAGTAAAAACGTAACAGAAACAGCAACCATTCT